TCATTTTCAACCATCCTCAAAAAGGCGACTGCTGCATATGCCTTATCACTTGCATCGGAAAATAAATGCAAATCAACTTTGTTGATTAACGTAGAATTAGGAAAGTAATATCTATTGATAGTGACAGGAGTATAATGTTTCAATTGGGTCAACCATTTCAGCCAGGTGTAGAAAAGTTCTTCTGTTATAGCTTGATCCCAATCAATATGACTTCTCCATATATTCTGAATCAGAATTCTAGCATTTATCATGAGAGGAGCAAGAAAACCAAGCGGGTCAAATACTGACATAACCGTGCGCAGTACTTCCCTTTTTGTTGGTACTTTCTCTCCATGGCAGATTTCATCAGGGATTTTTTTCAGGTTCAATATAAATACAAAATCGTCAGTCGTAGGAGACCAGGATATGCCCAGAACTCTTTCTAACATTTTTGAGTCCAGTTTCACATCTACTTGAGAATTAGCACGCAAGTTCTCTGGAATCGATTGCATTACTTCATTTGAATTACTTATCCACTTCACCATATCAAAATTTGTCTCTTTATGAACAACAATAACATTTCGAATTCTATCGATAGCTTCATCTATCGTATGGCAAGAGTCCAAGTAATCGTCGACGTAATGTTGTTTCTCCCAAATTTGATTGTTCATTCATAATTGTGATGAAGTATATATTTTCAGAAAGTTGATAATTATGAATATTAGTAATGAGTTCTGAATATTTACCTGTAAACAAAATTATAATTGAAGAAACAAATATTATTTCAAATTTATTTTGAATTTCAGTTTGCCACATTTTTTTATTGTACTTGGCATTTCATTGTATAATTTTATTATAATGAATGGCTAGTTCACCTATTTTGTGTTAATTTTGATCAATGCTAAATAAATTATTCGAAATGTACACTCAACTATGGGGAAAAAACTTAACCAGAACATGAGGCTAATAGCCATAGTTGTCAATACTGATAAAGAAGTTGAGAATTCTGAAATTTGAATATTCTTATTTTATCTGATTAGAATGATGTAATTGGCAGACACTTCATAATATTTTTTTGTTGTAAACAGGAAAGGAACCAAAAATATTACTCCTCTTCAGTTCGAACGAGGAATATTCAAATTTGAGGTTTGATGAATTGAAAACACAGGACTTTGTGCTCTTTAAGATTTTCGATCTATATGTTCAGAACTATCTAATGGTAGGTTTTAAAAAATCTCCAAATACAAATTAGTAGCTCTGTAGCTTTTCATTCGAATAGGGCAGCGATCTAAAAATTATGCTGTGCACAAAATCATGAATACTTCATTCTTCAAATCAAATTAGACAATACCTAAGTTTTCATTTTTATATAGTTATGGGGTTATTTTACTATTTAAATGAACCTGCTAGAAGCAGTTATTTGGACTACACTGGATTTGTAGAACTGACAACATTGGATTTGTATCTATGTTATTATATTGTTATAGCTAGCTACAGTGCTAGCCACTGTACTGCCCTGAACCTGTTTTGTAGGTATAGTTGAAAATTAATATTTTTTTGGTTAACGTTGGAAAAGTGTCTTTACCCTAGTAGTTCACATTTTCTTAATTCAATCATAAATATGGTCTAAATATAAAAAATGACTTGGAAGTTGATAGAGCTGCCCACTAAAATCAGCAATTTTATTATCTTATATGCAATTTCAGATAGAATACAAAAAAAGAAAACAATCAATTAAATGAAATGTTCTAGATATAGGTAATAAACATCGAGAGAACCCATTAAAACCCTAAGGTTGTGCATGGGAATTCTTTACTTATTGTATTACCAAATAATCTTCGAAATCTTATGAAAGGTTATATACCCAAGAAGTATTCTCTTTTCAATGTATAATCTCATTATCAACTCACCTATAAACTTTTTGAGTAAGATGTGGTGGCCAGTAAGAAGCTAGCTGTATCTCAGCAGGAACTATTGGCATAGGAATGACTGACAAAGGTGTATTGTAGTCTTCAATGCCAAAACTAGGATAAGATGTTGGAGCATCAGGCATTTCACAAGGTCTCGAGTAGGTATTGACAACAGGTTCTGCTCCAGTAGAGAATACATGAATATGGCCTGTGTTGTCTCCACAAGCCATAGCTTGACCATTTGTTGATATGTCGAAAGTAAGACACAGGGCTCCTTGAATACATCAATTTTTCATAAAATACCTGTTTATATATTGGGCACACATTATTTAAAGTATGAATAATGAAGTTTTCATTACACAAGCAAATACAAGACATATAACATGATAATATGATCTTAAGTGTTAAGAACTCACAAGAATTCATTGGGAAAATAGAAAATGTGAGGTTGCGAGAAGGAGAGATCTCAGTATCCTTTGATGTATCTTAGTTATTTCCAAGTATATACATTCCAAGAACAATCGAAAATTTGAAGGATCTTTTAGATGTTAATGAAATAAGTGGTGAAATAGTCGAAGAGTACATCCGGCTTTCCAAAATTTACATGGAACAAAATTGCTTCCAGTTCGCCAACTGTTTTTATAGGCAATATGAGGGTACGGCAATGGGAAACCCATTATCTCCTTTCATGGCTAATTTGTTCACGGGCAGATTTGAAATGGATGCAAGGGAAGAGTTAGATTACTTTCCACGAATCTGGATCCGATACGTGGATAATATATTTGCCATTTTTGATACGAATAGGAGTAAGGTAGAGAATTTTGTATTTTGCCTCAACAACAGTTTTGCGAGTATAAAATTTACGTTGAAAATTGAAAATAACGAAGAACTACCATTCCTGGATGTACTAGTTATTAAAAATGTCGATGAGGGTCTAGAGTTTGATGTATATAAAAAGAATACGAGCACTTTCAGGTATATCCCTGACAGCTCCCATCATTGCCCACATCAAAAAATGGCGGGACTACAATTTCTTGTCCATAGACTGCTCACATTTCCCTTGAGCAAAAAAAGGTATATCATTTTGCGCCAAAAGTTCCAGTACGAACTAACAACTTCGTATGTTTGATAAAAGCATGAATCTGACTATAAAGTCACCTCCATAACTTGGTATTTGTGATTTCAATGTGAAGTTGACGTTTTAGTTCACTTCTTACTTTGCGCTCTAAATTGCTATTCATAATTATTAACTAGAAAAATTATGTCATTCGAAACAATATGGAAGTTTTATAAATCTTCATAATTTTTGATATNTGTATATATTTCTGTTGTTTGAAGTTAACATACAATTTAAGTTTATTGGAAAAAATATATTATGAAATTTGAATTCAGAGTAAAGGGTATTTATACTGTGGATGTGGTGCGAACACTCCAATATGATGTGATTGAGATCGCCATAACGTCCACATGAGCATAGATTATCTGTTAATCCAATTTTGAATTTGTAAGCTGGACAGAGAGCGTGATTTGATCGTAAACGGTTTATGGTATTTATGTATTTTCTGTCACTCTCTTGTTCAAACCATCTCTTTCCAATAATCTTTGGGAAGAGCTGTTTGAAGTTTTTGCCTGTCCGAGATTCATTTAATTGATTTTGCCAAATTTCATTCAAATCTTTTTTGTAAATTCGATTCAAATCGGTATGTGGAATAAAGGTGTGAATGGACTCTTCTCCTGTTTCAGTGGCTTGCTTTGCTAATCTATCTACTACCTCATTTCCTTTTATTCCGGAATGTCCTTTTATCCAAATTATAGATATCTTCCTATTTTGTAAGATAATTGATTTATTGGCTCTGGCGATTTCTATTTCCAATTCAGAAAATAGATTAGGATTTCGGAAATTTTTCAGTCAATCCACGACACTCTTGCTATCAGTGAAAATTATTGAATGAATGCTGTTTTGTGTCAGAATATATTGCATTGCCAAAAGTATGGCTTTCAATTCTGCAGTGTAGATGGATGCTTCATTGGGAAGTATATACATTTCGAAATATTTGGTATTTCAATGATAGAATGTGAAGCCTGTTTTCTCTGATATTTTTGATCCATCTGTATAGATATAATCTGCATTTGGCCACAGCCTCTTGATTGTTTCTGAAAACTCTCCATCACAACTTATATTATTTCTTTCCAAATAATGTACTTTAAACTCGTGGGATATTATGTCGTAATCTTCTGTATAGTATGGAAGGTTATAGGTTTTGTAGATCGTTTTGTCATAAGAAGACGATCTGGTGAAACTTTCTACCAACAAATTTGTTTTCTTTTTCTGCCAGTATCGATGAGTGAGTGTGAAAATTGTAAGTTGATGAAGATTGGTAATCAAATTTGAAGATTTTGCTTTGATTCTTGTCACAAATTTGTTACTGAGCAGTTGTCTTCTTAAGTCTAATGGAGGTTCCTTAGCTTCGGCTTCCATAACTGATATTGGCGTTGACGGGAGATACCCCAGACATATTCTCAGACATTTAGTTTTTATTACTTCCAATTTCTTCAAGTGAGTATCTGCAGAACTTCCATAAAAAATACTTCCGTAGTCTAATATTGAACGTATGAATGCTCTATAAAATATTAGGGCGATATTTGGATCTGCACCCCATTTTGTTCCACAAAAGGCTCTAAGGATATTAATACCCTTTTCTGCTTTCTGTCGAATTTGAGTTATATGGTGTTTCCATGTCAGAGATTTATCTAGGATAATGCCCAAGTATTTGACTGACGGTCGAATTGGTAGGACCCAATTCTTTTTCTGGTGAATATGCAAATCTCTGACTTTTTTTCCGCAATCATCAATCCGTTTTTGTCAATCCACTTATTTACATTTTCAATCTCTCTTGCCAAGTTTTCAAGTGACTTTTCAAAAGACAAATTTTGTGTGTATATGCAAATGTCATCTGCATATCTGAGAGTCTGTTTCAATACATTTTTCTAAATCTCTTGTATATAGAATGCTTCCTTGGATGTTTTACGAGGAATAGAAATAGTTTCGCCAATTTTCAAATATAATTGTCTTTCTGAAAACAACATAACCAGAAGGTAACATATATTTTTGGGGATTTTGGTTTCTAACCAATGTTCCAATCTGTTCTTTATTATTCTTTCAAAAGTTTTCAATATACAAGAAGCAAGCGAGATGGGTCGATAAGAATTTTCATCATTTTCAGTTCTTCCTTGTTTATGAATCGGCAAAATCAAGTAGTCTTTCCATTCATGAGGAATAGGTATTTCATTATTCAATATTTGATTAAAAATGTCTAGGATGGATTTTTTGTGTGGTTCTGTCATGTGGAATAGCATAGAATATGAAATATTGTCCTTGCCTGGGGCAGTGTTATGTGTGTGTTTCAAAGCCTTATTCAACTCCCACATTTCAGTGTTTCTCGATAGATGGCTATGTTCATGATTCCGTTGATCTACTTGCGTTGTAAGGAACATCTGATTAACTGAGTTGGGAGCTATTTTATTATGAAATTTGTCTAGCCATTCCTCTTCAGGATCTATTAGAGATACGTTACCCATTCTTCTATTCTTAAATCTGTTTACACGTTGCCAGATGTCTCTCATAGGTATTGTTCTATTGAGACCTTCACAATAAGCTTGCCAGCTACTTCTTTTGCTCTGTTTCAAAATTTGTTTCCAAATTGCATCTGCTTTTTTATACTCCAATAGATTCAACTGATTAGGATTGTGTTTGAAGCCAATGTATGCTTCTCTCCTGTTAGTTATTGCTGCATCACATTCCTCATTCCACCATAGTTTTGGATTATGTGGAGAGGTCTTTCTAGAACTTTTATTTTTTGGTATAGACTGCGAAGCGGCAAAATTAATAATTTCTATAAGCCGATGATAATAAGGAGCAGGTTCTATTGAATCAAGCGTATCTCGATATTGGGACCAATTGGCTTTTTTTAAATTCCATATTTTATGAATTTTTTCCTCAGATATATTATGTGAGTTGAGACTCTCGATGATTATTGAAAGATGATCTGAACCATGGGGATCATCAAGTGCCTCCCAACGAAATAAGTTACTTATGTCAGAGGAGCATATCGTCACATCTATGGCAATACATCTTCGACTTGTAGCAAGAGTCTTGGATCCATCATTTAAATAGATTAAATTACTACTTTCAATAGCATCTAGTAGATTTTTTCCATATGTGTCATCAAATTCATTACCCCATGCCACGTGATGTGCATTAAAATCTCCTGCTATGAAGCAAGGTTTTGGAATATCATTAAAAAATTTAACCCATTCTTGGCTACTAATGTATGTTTGGGGTTTGACGTAAAGTGAAACTAAATGAAGTTTGTTATGGTTGGGTAAAATGTTTGCTGACACAGCTATGGCTGATATATTATTGGAGTTATTTAGATTTATTTCTTTATATTTTATTTTTGTTTTAGTTAATATGGCTACTCCCCTTTACCATCGTTTCTGTCTTTCCGTATACAATTGAATCCCGCGAATTTATAGTATGTTTGTGGTTTGAACCATGTTTCTGAAAGTAAGGCAAATGAAATTTGGTTTTGAGCAAGAAGATATTCTAAATTTCCTTTATTTGCAATCGCAGAACGACAATTCCATAGGCAAATTTTGATATGATTCATTGGAGCTGCGAATTTGATGACACATTTACATTTAACTGCTTACTGATTATATTTATAAGGTCTGATTCGTGAATATCAAAATTATTCAAAGTTTTCATTATGTTTATTACATGGGTAACTAATTATAAAATAATATTAGTAATATTAAGAATTTCCTCAATGTTTGAGCTATTTTGATTTGTGTTTCGCAAATATGCAGGTTTTTTAAAATTCCCCCTTCTTCATTGTGTGTTGATATACGTTGTATTATATTTTTGTGTGCTTCGTATATAGGATCTGGACTGGATGGTCTTAAGCGTTTTGCAGGAGTTCCCTGTTCATGTAATTTGTGAGATTTATGCAAGTGAGGTGTTTGTTGAACATTCTGAAATTGATTTGGAGTAAAGGATTGTTCAATAACTGATCTTTGATGCGATGTATTAGGTTGTATTATGTTAGGTTGTAATACAAACAATAAATATTTCTTCAAATGAATCCGGAATTTTTGTTTATTTAATTTTTTTGAAGCATTCGGTAGCTCATTGCAAAATTTAATACCTTTATTATAAATCGAATTTTGCGGAATTTTTGTTTATTAAATTTTTTCAAAGCATTGGGTAGCTCATTGTAAAACTTGATACCTTTATGATAAATCAAATTTTACCCAATATTTGTTTTCATTTTCATTAATTTTAAATTGCCTGAATATCTTGTTAAATGGTTGTGTTGGTCACTATTGATTTTGAAAGTCAAATTTGAATGTTTGAGCTTATTTTTGGCCAAATGATTGGAGGTACATAATTCGAATTTGTAGTTCAACTTGAATATACACCTTATAATTTTGTTCTGAAGTTTTTCAATTGGTTTCAATAAGGAATTTGAAGCCATTCCCCATATTGATATAAGATATTGACTTTTGGAATATACTAATGAAAAGCAAATCAATCTAAGGTATTTCAGGGGTATATTTCTTATTTTGAATAACATTCCAATTACAGGAGCTATTTTTTTCTTATTTTCATTATTGAATTTAACTGGATCTTTTAAATCAATTGATATATAATATAGACCGTTTTGATATGAACATATATGAAGATTTCTGAAAATTCAGTGACATTGAAGCCATAAAGATATTTGATCAAGGTCTTTTGAAATATTAATTTTGATTTCTTGTACACTATTTCCATTGTAAATTAAAGTGGTGTCACCAGATTGGAAGAACATGAGTCAAATAGAAGTCATATCAATAGCTCTGTGGCTTTCTTGTTACATAAAAACAAAAAAGATGTGCATTCTCTATATCTTCTCAAGTGCAGCGGTACAACACAGGGCTAAAATGGTTAATACTAGGCACTAGGCAAATAATGACATGGGTTATTGAAACGATAAAAATGATGGAGAAATGGTGTTTGGGTCATCATGGGAGTGAAAATGAAGCTGCTTATACTCTAAACTGAATGAATATGTTGATCATGACAATTTCTTGGAAATGATTCTGTTTATTTCCAAGTTTGACCCGGTACTATGTATCACATAGAAAATGTTACAGAGCAAAGTGAGAAAAATCTAATATTTTATTGTGTATCCAGTCAAAATCATAGTACTTCAGAAAAATCGAATATTTCATTGTGTATCCAATCAAGACCCCAGTAATTCATGCAAACAGCGCAAAAGGGGACATTTCACATCGTTCTTGTCAAAGATGACTGTTAACAGAATATTAAGCGGTATTTCAAAAAATTAATTGAAAACAAAATCCCTGAAGAAGTACAGAGAGCGGGATATATTTTATACAAATTGATGAATTTGATATTGATATCAATGTTACATTATAATCAGATATGTAACGAACATGAAATAGTGATAAGGCTTATTAATGGTATTCTATTAGGGGAACAAATATGTATGAGGTAGTCTCACAACTCCTAAGTTTAAATTTTGCAATATGTGCGAGGACTGTTGGAGATAGTAATATGCAAGGACAATTATAGGGTTTCACGACATGGTTTTCAAAAGATTCTCCTGAACAAATTCAAGTGTGGTGTTATGCCCATGCCACCCTTCGAAGCTTGAAACCAAACAGTTGTTGGACTACAGTAGGGATGAACTACGATGTCCAACAGGCATCCTTACAGGTCACTGTCGTCTGAATCATCATATGCAGAGACTCAGACTATCAGATGACAGTGTGTGTCGCCTCTGTTAGAAAAATGATGAAACAGCAGGGCATATACTTTGTACCTGCCCCGCTGCGGACCGAATCAGAAGATGGGTTTATTTGGTCGAGTTTTAATAGGTGTGAGCCACAAAAAACCCTTGCGGGTTGCGGTGGAGGAACGAATAGGCCTAACCTACTTCCCCTATCGCACCCCCAGAGCATGTCGCCAATTTTTTTAAAATGATTCACCCTATACTGTTTCGCATTATTAGATGCTCCATGATGAGTAGATTTCAACAAAGTATAAAACATATGGTTCCGGAGCTACAAATTATTTGAGTTGAAAACGAGCCACCCTGAATAATTTTTGAAACAATGATTTGCACGAAAAATAAAAAAACAGGTCAACAATTATAGGCCACATTTTGAAATATTCGTTCTAGAGACAAATATGGAAGCAATAAACCAGAAATAGAGATTTTTTACTAAGTCTTGAATCAAAATCTAACGACAGGACAATGAGAAGAAAATAATTTTCTATAGTAAATGTTCAAAAACGTTTCCACCATAAAAAAATGGTGACATGCTCTGGGGGTGCGATTGGGAAAGTTAGATCAAATGTGAATAGGTCAAAATGTGTCCCCCTGTATACTATTTTTGAGGTGTTTTTTTATTTTTCCTGAAAATCATTTTTCCAAAAGTTATTCAGGGTGGCTCGTTTCCAACTCAAATAATTTGTAGCTCCCGAACCATAAGCTTCAGACCATATGTTTTATACTTTGTTGAAATCTGCTCATCATGGAGCATCTGATAATGCGAAACAATATAGGGTGCGGAAGGGGAAGCAACGTCAAATGTGAATATGTCAAAATTTGTCCCCCCGTATACTATGGTTGACGTGTTTTTTATTTTTTCTGCAAATAATTGTACCAAAAGTTATTCAGGGTGGCTCGTTTTAAATGGAATGCACTGTATATTACTCATTTGAGAAACCAAAAACAGGAATGTTTTGCCTAGTTCATTCTAAAAGAGTGAATTACTATGTTGATGTCACAATAACTTCTGCTATTGTGCTAAACGCATTCAGACTACTTTTATTATCAACATAAACTAAATATTTCATGCAATAAAGTTTTCTTTACCAGGATTTTCCATTTGTAAGAGACAAAGATGAGGTTCAGCCAGTGCAATGGTGTCGAGTAACTGTATTTGGCCCAACATTGAAACAACAGCTAATCTGGAAGATATGGAAGGTATAAATTTCAAGAAGAATGGGTCTATCACTGTTTGCATTGGTGACACAGCTCTGAGCATCCTCAAGTCATATACCATCAAAAATCTATCGACTGCCAAATTGTTGTGACTGAAAAGTATTCTTGTAAAGTAAGTTTCTGCTGGGTTTATTACGTGAGTTTACCGTTTACTGAAACCACAAGTGACAAGAAGATTTCCTTGTACATCGAAATCGCTCAGGCTTCCTGTATGTGCTTCAATACTGTGTTCCACTTTAAGGCTGTTGGGATCTCTCAAATCTATCCGACCTAGGGGATTACCCGCACACACAAATCTACTGTGTGGCCTAAGCATCACACATCCCTCACCTACATCAGTCTAAAAAGTTAAAAAAATTACCACAGTTTCTGACAAAAAACTATAATCAAGTTCATAAGAACCCGTCACTGAAAAGAGTGAAAGTTATTTCAAAGAGAAATCAAAGTAACTGGGTAGCTTCAGTTCACATACAGTGGGACATCGAAAATGTATCGTGAGGCATAACTGCCAAGGAAAGAACTTTCTCCAAATACCCAAAAACACGTCAAGATTAGATTTTTTATTGGTCAAGTTATTACACCTTAGTGCTATGACAAGTCAATAATGTATAAAATAAATGTAAACTACAATTAAAATTACCGAAAAGGAGTAGGTAGTACATAAATATTGTATATGATACAAGCACAAAATAAAGTAAATAAATATATAAATGTAAAAATAAAAATGTACATTGACGATAGTCACTCTGTAAAACTGAAGTCAGACGCATCATAGTAAGCATTCTCTGAGACATGTTTTTTAGTTTCAGTTTGAAATTAGCGAGGGTTGCATTTTTCTTTGATTGAGGCAGTGAGTTGTACACTGACATGTATGAGTTACATCTCCTTGTTATTTCTAGTCTTTAGTTTGGTGCTCTAATATTATCCTTGTTCCTAGTATTATACGAATGGTTGTTACCATTTGTAGTCAACTTTTGTAAATTTTCTTGAATGTGTATCAAATTGCAGTATATTACACATGATGGTATAGTTAATATATTGAACTTAATAAACCGATTCTTACAGCTCTCCATTTGACCTATTCCATCTAAAGCTCTGATTGCTCTTTTTTGAATTTTAAATATTCTCGAGATATGAACAGATGTGCCCTATTTTATGAATCCATAAATCAAGGTACTATGAAACTTTGCATGATAAGCGGTATGGGCAGCTTCATTACCGATTTTATTTTTTATCTGCCTGATTGCATACACCTTGCATGATAGATTTTTTGCTAATTTGTCAATATGGTGTTTACAAGTTAACTTTGAATCAATGGTTAAATCAAGACATTTCACATTATTTGAGAGATTATGAGACAGCTTAATTGTAAATATCAAGCGAGCCCGAGGGATTTGATGACTTCATTCACCTCTCATTCAGTTTGATAGAAATGCATCAAGTTATCAGCATTGCATGGAACTTGGTGGTAATAGTTTGAGAATGAATTATTGGGTGTGCTCATTTCATTATTCATATCCAGGGCTACATTTATAAAAAAGTCATTGAACTACTCTGATGTAAGACAAGAAGAGCTATTGGTATGGTTATTCGTTCAGTTGTTTCATCGCCTTTTCTCTCTTCATTTTCATAAGTAATTATTCGTATTTATATATTTTTTGATTTAAATTCTGATTTGATTTTCTCACAGTTGTTAAAAAGTTTCAATTGATCGTTCAGTTTCTGGATTTCATTTTTTGCAGCAATTACTTCTGGATATGAATAAATGCTAGGGTCACGCTTGGAATTCATTCTGACTTTCATGGAAGGAAATGATACTTCCATATAGTAGTTCAGGGCATTATAGTAAATTTGGATTATCTCGTTTATCTCATGTTGTTTAAATAATTCAATCCAATTTTCTGTTGTTAATTTATCGAAGAATAAAGTTTTGTTTGCGACATTTTTATTCAAAATTATTTTATATTTTTGTAGAATCTCTCGTTCTGTGTTAATAGTTATAATTTGAGAATAATGGTCAGATAGATGGAAGTCAGAAATTTTTGCTCCCTCAACATCAAAATTTGTGAACATATTGTCGATGCATGATTTTGAATTACCACAAATTCTAGTGTAGGCCAAAATTTGTTTGGATAAGCCAAAAGATGAGAATATTTTTATCATATCTTACTGAGTTTATAGAATCTGTAGCAAAACCAATATTGAAGTCGCCACCAATAACTAGATCGAAGGTTCTGAATTTTTCTGATAATATTTGGAGCATGGTAGAGATATTATCCTTGAAAATATTTATATGTCCACATGGAGACCGATAGATAGATACAATACATCTTTGTTTTAATAGCTTATTGCAGCAAGTTTTTAATGTACTTTTCCATGTTATATTCATTCAAAGCATCAATTTTTTCGAACAAAATATCATTTCTAATAAAAATACATACTCCTCCGTGAATGTATATGGATCTCGAAAAGGAACTAGCTATTATAGGAAGTTTTTACCTGAAAACCATTGCAAAGCCTTTGATCTTTTGAGCGGGGGCGTCATCTTTAAATGTTTTAAGTGGGAATGGGGTACAGATATACCTCAATAAAGAGAACTTGCCAAAATAGAACTGAAATTCGAAAAGTTATAATACTTTTACTCTTTCTTTTTTGCACTAGTCTCACTTTTGGTACTTTTCTTCTGAAATCATCATTTTCCTTTGTCCATTTTACTTTTGATTTACCTGACATGATTAGAAATTTTTTAGATAGTTCATATAACTTCTTTATTTGTACTGCGTCTGTTTTTTTCAATAATTTATATTAAACACTACTTCTATTGAAATAACCCATTCACTCATTATTTTCTCTCCTTTAATTACTGGACACTCATTACATTTTGCTTCAAGTTCACAATTCAAAGATAAAAGTGTTCTCAATTTTTGTTGGCAGTTTCATAATTATTGCTTTAAAACACAATGTATAATAAAAGATATGAAGTGTGTTGTACACATCAAAATGGTACACAGCAATCAACAAAACTCTTCGTATAATTTAACCAAGACTAATACAACCGTTAAATGTTTGAACTTGAATAGCTTACAATTCGTCTGAAGAGATCTAAAAATTATGAATTCTACTAGAAAAAAATCATAAAAAAAAATAAATAGTATTCCCTAGTTTTTTATCAAGTTTCACGTTTTCATTAAAAACAGCCTTGTTTAATTAAATAAGTAACGAAATTTATGATTTAATTTAAACAAGATTTCTATGGCTGGGATTCAATCAGATAAGCGAATGAATGTCATTATGATGTCATCGATGACATGAATAGATTAAACTCATTCGTGTCATAAAGTCATGATTTTATGAACGAATTGAGTGTTTTTTCTCGTATCATTAATAATTGTATTTTATCTTTTAATTTTGTACTCAGTACAGAGTGCATCTGCACTCTTTTTGACCTGTCATGAATGTATTGAATGCATAACATGATTAAATAAATCCTGTCTGTCTGTCTATTATCCAGATTTGGTACTGAAGATCCGATAAGGCAAGTGTCTTACGACAAAACATTAGATGTCTTCCAGTGAAGATGACAGTGTTCCATGAAAGTGAAATTTTACCCCTTTCATTTATTTTACTGTGTAGCAATCCTGTAAATGATATCTGATTCAATTCCATAACGAATATTTGGAATACAAGCTGAATAAATAAAAAGTGTTTTTGGTATAATTCAGTGTTCATATAACAGTATTTGAAACAAAAATATTTTTCTTTCGTGTAATTTAATGTTTATATGACAGTATCTGTTTCGAGGGGGCTTTTTCTTCTAGTTTGTGCCTGAAAGTCACTTCTTTGTAAGATCTAAACATCTTTGTATAGAGTTACCCTTTTTTGAAATTGATTGCTTCCTTCCTTTCTTTGGAAGATTCTCACATTTTTTTCTAAAAATGTATGAAATCTATCATCATGATCAAGTAGGTGACATTTTTGTTCAAGTTTGATTTTTTCAATCTAAGAAGACTGTTATAAATTTTTCAACCACAAATCAGGTATCTAGATATACAATTATTCAACATCAGAACCATAAACAATTGAAATCCAACAAAAACAATAAACATATTGAGTATTCATCAAGTAAATATTTTCAAATCAATAAAGGTTGCCAATAACATTACCATCAACATGACACCAAGAAATAAAACTGCTGATGGAAAACTTATTGTTAACAAAACATTAGCCTACTTCCATAAT